GTAACTAATGAATATTTAACACACGTCCACATTCTTTCTTTTGTACCTTGTTGCTACAATGATGATGCTTTTACAGGATTCAGGAAAAGTTAATGCAGTCCTGTTCTTCCTGACTGACAGGTGGTCACTGCATTTCTGGGGGAATTTTACCTGAAATATTTATCAACTAAATTCAAACCCAAAGCTGAAAAAATAAAAGCATTTACGTTTCATGAACCTTAATTGAAAATTGGCTTTTATATTTATTTCTATTGGTTGTTTTTTCTCTTTAATTATGAATTTGTAGAAGTCTCTGCATTCTTTCCCAATCAATCAATCAAAAAAAAAAAAAATTTAAGAACATGTTTGTCTCTTTTTATGAAAGTGTGTTTAGACTTAGCAATACTTTCCAGTAAAAGGCAGTAATTTGATTGTGAATGTGTATTTTGTGTGATACTTTGTGCCCTGGTCATTACTCATGGTGGATACAGAGAAGTAAAGAAAGCCCCAGGCACATCAATAGTTGAGTAGTATCACAGTTGTGTGTCTATAACAAGGCATACCACATCACTTCATCAATATTACATGCTGGCTTTGGGCCAAGACATGAGCACTGTGGTGAGTTTGAGTATAAAGTACTAATGTCTGCATGTAGGTATTAATGTTATGCATTCACTGTAATGAAGCTTTGTCAGGACTTGCACATGTGCAGATACATCTCAACATGTGAAGTAGAAAAGTTCCCTACGTGATTTATCTACTCACTGGTTTGTAGCAGTCCCTCCTCAGTCCTCAGAAAATCTGAATCTGCCTAAAACATGCTGAAAACACACATTCCATGAAACATCGTGACACAATTTCCTTTTTCCTTTTGCTAAAACTCAGGAATGCAGAAGTCAACCACGGTTTGATCATAAATCAAATGGCAACCATGCACAAAATAAAACATTTTATTTGTTTGAAGCAGAGAAAAACATTTTCAGTTTAGTCCAGATATTTGCATGAACAGTCGGACGCTTGGACTCTTTATACGTGAACAAAGTGTGCACGGTGAGACCAAATGCATGCTCCGAAACACAGAAGCTGCTGAGGTTCTGTGAATGAGCCTGATGGTAGTAAATCCACCCGTATTCCTGCCTCGTGGCTTCACATCCCCCTCGGCCAACTGAACAGCGCTCCGAAATGAAGTATGGTCAAGAATGTTAACAGCAACCATCAAAGGCCTTCGTCTAGATCTCTGTGTGTGTGTGTGTGTGTGTGTGTGTGTGTCTGTGTGTGTGTGTGTGTGTGTGTGTGTGTGTATGAGAGTATAAAGTAGCCCCACAGGTGATTGGATCTCATCTCATCCCATCTCACCTGATTGGCTCATCCGTCCACAGGAGAGTGAGAGGGGGTTGTTGGAGACTTGTCTAAATAATTTAGACCTTGGATTTGTATTGATCAGGTAGCACGGCTCTCGACGGGCCACTCCACCATCCTGTATTTCTTCATCCTTTTTCACCCGTTTCGTTTTCTTTTCTTTTTTTTGTAACCTTGTGCCCCTGGCTCTGCCATCTCTTTCCTCCCACTCCCCATCCTGTACATCAAACACCTCGCAGGTCGGCTGCTGCGAGCAAGCAGAAACAGCATATAAGGAAATACACAGCGTGTTTTTTTTGTTTGTTTCTTTTTTCACTGGGATTCCTGAAATAGTGAAACTGTAAGGATATTGTAAGACATGAACTAAAAAAAATGGCATTGTGGATAAATAAATTATTTTGCTTGTGTATATTTATGTTCTTAGACTGTGTAATCCTGATGATGCCGTCAGAATATATTGATAAAAAAAAAACTAGAAAGTTCCTGGAGAAACTTTGATGGGGACTGCCAGGCTGCTGCCAAATTAAATTGTTGATTTGATAGTAGTATGTGTTGGGGTTTGCTCTCACTGTACCAAATTTCAGCTGAATAGCTCTAAAAAAAATGCCCGAGTTATCATATTTTTTCTTTTTTAGCTAAAGTGACCATCTTGTATTTTTGATTTGGATTCAGCATGTGATAGGGAACGTTCTCAGGTTTAACCTCACCAAATCTCAGCTCTGTATGTGTAAAAACAGCTGAGTTAAAGCCATTCAAATGTAGCTCAGGCAGTCATCTTGGATTTTAGATTTGCTTTAGGAGTGTATGGAAAATCGGTCTCAGCTACGACCAGAGCAAACTTCAGTTCAATATCTCAAAGAATGATTGAGTTATAGCAGTTAGAAGCAGATAGAAGCTGCTAATTTGTATAATTTATAAATACTTTTAAATGTGTATATTTACTGTAGTATAAAGGCCAGTTAAACCTAATGCATTACTCCATTAAATATCGTCCTTGAACCAACACAGACTGAGAATTTATCAAATATTTCAACATTAATAGGAATGGATTTATTTTATAATACATCTGGAAAGCAAGCATTGCGTACATGAAAAGCACATGTGTGCACTATAAATAAATATATATACTATATAAATAAATATACTTATTGTGTAAATAATATTGTCAATCTTTTCTCCCCAATCTGTGGTTGTTGCAGTGAAATATGAACACAGAAAACATGGAATATGACAGATAAATATTTGCTGCCAGGCAAACCGATCAGTTTGAACTGATCTGATCTTGTAAAGCTTCATATGAGCTGTAAATGTTGATACAACTCTTGCAGCTTAATTGGAGCTACTTTTGTCTGTTTTAACCATTTATTTTTTTATGTTATTCTCATGTATGGAGCTGCAGTTCACAATTTTTTTTTAAAGAATGGATCTTGCTTAAAAAAAAAAAAAAAAGGTTCCTAAAGCAAATATATTTACAGTAATTCTGTACGTGTGATTGAATTATAGTGCCTAATTATTATTTCTTATGCCTCTTCAATTTTTATTTCCCAAGAAAATGCCCAAAACAACTCTATTAAGTATGTAAGCTGCTGTTTAGACAAAGCTAAGGTTGTGTTAAATCCAGTATCGCTGCACAAACTTGACTTTTGTTTAAAGACTGTGACCAGCAATAAGAGAAGGAAATGTCTGGATATAATAAAATGTTGTGGGACGGATTTTTGAGGTTTGATATGGATGGGATCCAGGGAGGGAAGAGATGGCCTGAACTATGCTTTTAAAACGGGGTGTGACGCATCCAATGTACACAAACACATAAGAACACACACTCACACATTAAAAGCTGGGCGCCTTGTGTGAGGACTTGCTGGGGGGAGTCACCCCAGTCAGACAGTAAGGCAGACAGGGCCACACAGGAGTCTGCTCTGCCCAGATTCCCACCATGAAAACACACCAAGCCCAGAAGAATGAACGCCCTGAGACCAAACTGTTGCTGCTCCTCAGAAAAAAAAAGCACATCAATGCTGCGAGTTCTTCCCCGTAAGCAGGGGGATTCCAGGGTCAGGAAATAACAATGCCTCCATCTTTCACTGCTGCAAAGCATTTAACTCCCCAGTGTGCAGAACAGATATTTTTGCTTCTTTTGGAAGGGAGTGTGTTCTCCTTTGAGCTGAAAGAAGTGAATCATCTGGCTGAGAAGAGTCCAGAGGCAGAGCTCTCCTCCTCCAGTGTTACACTGTTCCTCTGTGGGCCTGTCACTCCGGGCCCATGTTTAGGGATTAAATCAATACTTAACTTGCTGCTGGACACACCAAGAAGCATTCATCTTGATAACAGACCTCTTGCAGTTTTCAGATCTGCTGGTGTCTAATGGTCTGGGATGAAAGCAGGTTATCACACTTATAACCAATTAGGTCATCAGTTTCAGGGAGTATGGCTGAACAAGGCTGGTTAAAGGACGAATGTTTAAAGTAGTAATTCATGCAGATGAGACATCCTGCTCTTCTATGTGAGTGACACCGTGCTGTTTTTAGGGACTCGACCATGTTTTAATTTAATTATAATTGAATGGGTTTTTTTTACGTTTGCTACATTCGCCTTATAATCTATCTTTTTTTTGCTACTTTTTTGCCATCTTATTTTAATTTGTAAAATATAAATAAATCTGTATGCCTCTTTTATGATCATCTATTGTTGTTTTTGTCCATTGTTGTCATCATTCTTTGCTGAAATCAGGTCTCTCTTGTGAATGAGTCCTCGAGGCTCAATGGGATTAACCTGTCTAAATAAATGTTGAATGAAAAATAAAGTTTTTGTTTGTGTGTACGTCCACGCTGCAGTGGAAGTGCTAGCTAGTCGCTGCTGCTACTGTACTTATGCTTTCAAATAGTCATAGAAGTATATGTGAATATTAATACCCAAATACAATTTCAATTCATAGTGAAGCTAAAGTCTTAATGAGATGGAAATATTGGTGAGATGTTGGAAACGTCACTCACGAGGGAGACTCAAAGTCATTGTTGCAGCGCTCTGGAGTTTTGAACATGTTCGAAAGATTTGTGCAAAATGTTTTCTTGCAAAATGCGCTTTGAATTGTTAGAGGTGTCTAGAACCTTTTAAAGTTTAGTTTCCATAATTTTAGAGCACTTGGGTTGTTTTTTTTAAATATATTTCATTGTTTTATGTGAATATTTGCTGAACTTTGGCTCAAATTTTGCTGGGAGTTTGTGTAACTTTGAGATTAAATGTGATTTCAAGTGGAAATTCAACTTCCTCACATGGTTGTGTATACAACTTGTCTCTGAAAGTTTCTTTGCATTCTTATCCCACTTCAAAAAATTTGAATTATTACTTTAACACCTTCCTGCTCCACCTGTCAGTTCTTTCTGTTCATTTTGTTGACAAGCTGAGGTTGTCCTGCATTTCGTTGTCTACGTGTGTGTGCATCACTTTAGCTGCTTCTATGTGCAGCTTGCAAATGAAACAAAAACGCATTTTCTTACACATGATCAGGTGTTTAACTTTAGCATGTTAATAAAGATGTGCTGAATCACAAAATATGATATTCATAATATTAATGTGAAAAGAAGTTCAGTCATGTTAAATAGTAATAATTGTTTTTGTGTGTCTCTTCAGTAACCATCTCTACCAGTGTGTCTTTCGACGGTCTGCTGGTTACTGGCCTCTACACCTCCACACCGGTGCAGTCGGCTCCTATTCCTGCTCCAGCTGCTTTTGGTTTCGGTAAGTCAGACTATTGGTCTTTACAGAACGAATCCCATCTTTGATCGTCTAAATACAGCTTTTTTTACAGGAATAATGCAGTTTGAAAAAGAGCACAAACACACGTAGTGATCCACATCTGTTCCCAGAAAAAGAAAACATACACGTAGAAACGTTTCCAAACCTCTTTTTGATGCACAGTGATCGATGAGGCAAGAGGATGAAGTTAAGTCTAATTGTGTTGTTGGTGTTTGAAAGTAAAAATCAAATTCTGTATGGAAGACAGATGAGAGGTTACAGGAAAAATGAAGCAGAAACATAGAAAATCTCACACTGAACCAAATTTAAATTACCATCTGGGCACGTGGAATTGCACTAACTTAAAAAAACCAAAAAATAAACAATTTTTCAGAAACTGTTTATGTGATAAAAGTTGTTTTTGTGGTTGGTTGATTGCAGACAGACAATTTCCTGCCCCTGTTTTTTATATTTTCTTTGAAATGTCAGCTTTTTTCTTATTGTATTTTCCGCCGTACACGTCGCACCATCCTACAAGTTGCATCACTCCAAATATGTCTAATAAAGCAAAAAAAATCCATAAATATGTCGCTTCGTCATATAAGTCGCACCTATTATGCGTCACCAATGACGCATTGCGTTTGTTTTACGCATCACCTCTGACTACCCGGAAATGTGGACCGGTGTTGTGCCAAAAAATTATTGGCTGCCAAATGGCGGCCGCGGGAGCGTTCACAGGAGGACTTTAACAAGATTAACATTTAAAACAATTATTTGTTTGCTCGAAATTATAGCAAAGGTGTGTCTCAGTCTAACTTTTCCTTAATAAATACACTTTGACGGTCAAATCAGCTGCCTTTTCAAAAGCTGATATGCAGAAACATGAATGCACAGAGGGCGACTTGCTGCCCATTTCTTCAAAATTTAACAAGATAGGCACCTGAAAACAATTATTAGTTTGCTTGACTTAATAGTAAAGGCTTGTCTCAGTTGAACTTTTACTTAATAAATGCACTTCAGTGGTCAAATCAGCTGAATTTCGCTGGGGCGGTGGAGCAAAATGAAGCTGATTTGACGGTTGCTCCAGGCAGATGATGGTGGCAGGTTATGGAAAGCCGATTGTGTCATTAATAGCCACTTTTACCTATTACATGATACAACGGCATGCCATATTTCTTGATTGCCATCTAGTGCCTGAAAGTGGTAGTGTTCAATATTTTCAGTCAGAATGAATGAAAACGGTCATATCTCAGCCAAAATTGTTTTATAAATATGGAAACAAATCCATAAATACGTCGCTTCAGCGTAAAAGTTGCAAGGCATGCAAATTATGCAAAAAACTGTGACTTATAGGGTGAAAAATATGGTACTGTTAGCTGTGATTTTTTTAAATTATTATTATAGTGCAGAGCATAAACAAATGAAACATGTTTGTAGATAACTTCTCGTTATATTGTTAAGAAGGCGTCTGAATTAGTTGCAACTCATCTGGATATGCACTGCGAGGAAGTGTGTGTGGATGGAGCCTGTAAGTGCACTGCTGGAGTCTCACATGTGACCACAAAGAATTCCTCAGAGGAGCAGGTCCGCTGCCCAGAAATGACTGAGTTACTCTACTGTTCGTTAGACGATGACGTCACCAAGACCCTGACAGCCCTTTACTCTCAGCACTCATGCTTACTGGGAGGCGTCCAAGCAAGGATTGCATCACCTTTGCCTTACTCTATGACATAAAAATAAAATTTGGTGTTCAGTTGCATACCCTTAAAGCTGCAGCTCATGACTTTCTGTGCAATGTGTGCTCAAAGTTAGAAAAATCCATGGTTAAGGCATCTATAACCTGCTACATGGATCCAGTGCCAATCAATCACTTAGTTCTCACACATGCCATTCTCTGGATTTAGTTTAAATAATGTGTTGTCTATAAAAAATAAAACTGTTTTGGTGATTCTGCATGGCATTGTAATTAAAGTTCTTCTGACTGGACGGTAGAGTCCCGTGTGTTGGTTAAAAACTCTATGAAGTCTGAAGAGATGGGCCCAAATAACGTTTTCCATTCTAGATTCAAGACTTTGCAGCTAAGATAACATAACTGGAAAATATATACATTTTGAAAGGTGTCAATGCATCCACTGACAAAAAATTCCAACAAAACCTTGAATTAATCTAAACTCAGAATGAATGCCTACAGTTTGCTCTACAGACTATATAAGAAGTAAAGCGAGAGCAAAGATTAAAATCTGAGTAAAGCTGCTGCCGGTGGCTCTGTGATATCCACATCTGCACGGTCACTCCCTGACTGTGATTGTATAAAAACCATAAAATATATCAAAGTGTACGTTTAGACGTATAAAGTCAAAGTTTTTGTGACTTGTTTGAACTTTGAATGATGTTTCTATTTTGAACTGTACTTGAGTTGTAGAGTTCCAAAAAGGCTGTTTTTTTTCCTGTTTGGTCTAAAGCCCATTAAATTGTTCATGCAGATTTCCTTTTGCAAAAACTTTATTTATATTGTGCAACAATGTGCTTCCAAAGGCTACGGACCACTACAACCAATCAAGCTGCATGTGTTGTTGTGTAATTTGCATGTTTAATTTCAAACATGCCTGATAAGATACAGGACAATTCATGGGTATTTGAAACAGACGGCGGTATGACGCTGTTTTTAAACTCCACTGTGCTTTAAAGTACTTTTTAAAATTCACTTTGACTTTGACAAAAAAAAGATGAAATTAGTAATAAGGGTGTTTCGGTGCATATGCATTTGACTCTAATAAGTTTGATATTCTTTGATGGTTTTTATGTTCATGATCATAAATGTAAAAAAAAATAGGATTAGGTGTGGCTTTGATCCTTCTGAATGGCTGAACACACACATACCCCCCCCCCCCCCCCACACACACACACACACACACACACACACATACACAGACTCCAAATGTGTAAAGTTATTGAGGTGGTTGTTGAAAACATGTGGTTGGCAGATGAATCAGCCCAAGAACCAATATGAACTTGAAAGCATCACAGACTGGAAGGAGATCAGTGGCAAATTAAGACTGCTGGAAGATGTATTTTTATGTATTTTTTATGAGATTAAAGTATTTTTTCTGTTTTAGTATTCCTAAAGAGACAGAGAGGATAGGAAATTGTTGGGAAAATAAAAAGAACCAGTGGTTTGCAACAAATTCCAAGGCTCAAAACAAAAAATTGCAAAAAAACAAACAAGGTTCGAACAATGGAGGCTGAACATCTCGTAAAATTTAAAAAGTAAACAGTCTGATTTTAATTACTGCTGACTCTGTTTTTGCACATTTAAAATAATATTTGCACATTTTAGGACTGTTTGTGCAATTTTTAATCACACTGCGCGTGTTGTTTACACAGTTTGATGATTGTTTTGCACAGTTTTTACTTTTGTCAATCAATTTGTTTTACTTTGTTGTGATTTTCATCCATTCTTTCGTGTGTGTGTGCATGCGTGCGTGCGTACGTGTGTGTGTAATTTGTGTTTCGTTTTTAATACCATTTTCTTTCATTTATTCTTAATTTTTATGCTTTCATTTATGGCTGACTACTGTTGTCATCACTCTTAGTTAAAAACAGGTCTCTCTTGTAAATGAGTCCTCGTGGCTCAATGAGACACACCTGTATAAATAAAGGTTGAATTAATGAATGAATTTAGTTTGTTGCTGCAATAAAAGGCTTCACCTACTGATCGATGGATCAAATAATCAACCATACACTGCGTAGGTATGAGTTCTACCAAACTGGACCTGGTGTGCAAAGGAAACTGAGGGCGTGACTCATAAGTTATGAAGGTCAAGACTCCAGACCAATTTGAAAGCTGTTTGTGATCGTGTCCAATGGTTAGTGTGGTCAAAGCTGCTGCAACAAGCAGATAAGCTGAATGTGTTTTAATCAAACAAAATTGCATTTGTACATTTGTAGACTCCTTTCAGAACTCTCAACACATTGTACAGGTAAAACTAACAAGTACAACAAAACAACTAGAGTCCAACAAGCACTGTGTTCTGTGTGATGTTATGTGGGACAGCAGTCTAAAAAGATGAAGTGTGGTTTAAAATGTGGGGAAAGACTTTCTGGTTTGAATGGATCGTTGGAGAGAATTTGAGAAATGTCTTCTCCGTGCCACCCTTCAACCACTTATAAAAGCAGAGACAAGGCCAACTTGTCTGTTTCATGGTCTTCTTCTGCTTTTTGTCTGTTTCTTCCTTCAGTCTGTCACAATCGTAAATGAAGTCGCACCCATCTGCAGTCAGACACAAACACCACAACATGGAGACAGAAGTTAACAGTTTAAGATCTCCCTCTCCCCTGAATTACAATACACTTCACACTACAATCACAATACAAAAAAAAAAACGCTGTGGTTTTTTTTATTGCATTGTCAGAACTCGACACCCACTCGTTGTTGAAATAGCTGTTGTGTGACAAAACAAATGGCAGCAGTTAAGGTATTCTAAGGAATGCTTTGTTTAGAGTTTCTGGGCCGAGCTGCGGCTGCAGTCGCTTCAAAGCTTGGTTCTCGGGTGCCCACGGGCAGGAGATCCCACATGTGCTGCTGGGCGGATAACCAGAGTCCCTTATGATTCTGTAATTGTCCTGTTAGTTCAGACAAACTGGAGCTAAGAACAATGTTATGCTTTGGAGACATGCCCATCCCGAGGAGTCAGTGTAAATTGACTTGTGTTCATAAATGTACCCGTGGGGACAGCCTGGCTGAGACACTGCTGCTCTTTTCCTACTTCCAGGTGCCACGAGCTAGCAGGAAATAATATCATCTACTGGAATTTACGGACTATAAGCTGCTACTTTTTTCACACACTGAACAAAGTGGCTTATACTTTGTACAATGCTGAGGCCAATTTATAGATTTTTGTTTTTTTGGATGTGCTAACATGCTTCATGCCGCCAAAACTAGCCTCGTCACACCCGGGCGTTCACATAGCTGCAATACGTCTTTCTTGGGGGGGGGGGGGGGG